TACAAAAAGAAACAGAACAAGATGAAGTATTGAGTGTAATTAAAAAATATATTTTAACAGGATGGCCAAATGCTAAGATTAAAGTAATTCAAGAACCAATTAAATCATCCACAGAGTAATGCTGTAGTTGAGAATATGGTAAGCATTTTTAAGAAAATAAAAAAGATAATAAACAATACTCCAAATATTATACAAGCATTTGCAAATTTATATTAAATTATAGAAATACCATCCATTGCACCTCAGGTAAAAGTCCAGTAGAATTGCACATGAATAGAAAATTAAATAATAAATTTGGTTTGGTTTTAAAATAGTTCAAAAAAAAAAACTTACTTAAATAATAATCTTGATGTTAAAACTAAGGTTGAACTAAGTCAAGAAAAAACAAAAAAAGTATACAGGGGTAAAAGAAATATAAAATTTAAAATAGGCGATACTGTGTTGGCATGGAATTATAGTAAAAGACAAAAATGGATTACAGGAAAAATTAAAGAAAAATTAGGAAAAGTAATTTTTCTGGTTGACTCAGATAAAAAGACATGTGGATCAACTGTTACAACACAATTTAAAAGAGAGAGGCGGGAGTGAGAAAAAAGTTAATGGAAATGTAAGTAAAGAGAAGACGATCTTTAGATCATATAAATAAAAAAAAAATTTAATGACTAAGATTATTTAATTAAGAACCTAATTATATATATTATGCTTGTATTTGTTGTTGTTTTTATACCTAAATATTTTATTGGGAATATGTTTAAAAGAAGGGGAAGTTATGTTTTTTCTTTTCTATTATAATTTGTTATATTGATAATTAACCTCTTAAAGAGATTGTCTATAAAATATTTGTTTTTTGTTTTATTTATTARTAATGTAATTATATTAAAATTTTTTACTTTTAGATTCTGAGCGGAGCGATGAATGTATTGATTTTACCATGATGTGTTTTTTTTTATATTTATATTTTTAGTGTGTCTGTCATCTCGTTTTGGGGCAGTAAAAATGCTTCGATTTTTGACTTCAGTACCTCGTTCGATCAGAAAGTGAATCTAGTTGGTACTTTGGGGGGT